GAGAGAGAGAGAGAGAGAGAGAGAGAGAGAGAGAGAGAGAGAGAGAGAGAGAGAGAGAGAGAGAGAGAGAGAGAGAGATGATCAGAGTGATTGACAGTCTGGCTCTCATCAATCGAGTTCCAGTGTCGTCATAGGACACTCACACTTCCAAAAGTTTTCCACATACAAGACGCCGTTTGACATTCTCGTGACCAAACTTCCAATGTCGTCTTGAATCAGTTGCTTGAGTGATTACACAGGCTGCCAAGACAGGATCGGTCAGCCTTTTAAATGTCTCCAAGTGTGAAGGAAAACTATTACTGGAAATCGTTTCTTGGCTTTTCATGTTTTAAGGTCCTCCAGCCTTTTGCCCACACTGTGATCTTTGGATATTCACAAGCAGAGAAAGGGGAAGTGGAAAGTCTGAGATTTTTATGAACACAACACCTCCCATCAGCAGCAACACATCCAACAGCATCGAAAGATGGCCAAATCACCGAGAGAGCCACCAGTTGAGTTAGTTTACCCTGCCACCCTGCCTTGATACTTGCTCGAGCATTTGTGGGGTGATGGCTTCATCATCCTTCTTAGAATTATGCAAGAACACCCTCAGATGGAGCTCTGAACCAGCAGCTCGAGCACGGCGCCCTTCGAGAGGTATCCAAAGGTCGGCAAGCTCTTCTGAACTTCTCCTCAGGAAGTTGATTTCATATGTGCCAAGCTCATCGGGCTCCAGGAACGGTCCGTCGTAGTCATACACAGCAACATCCATCACACTTGGTGGACCTTCCATCGCATCGAACTCCAAAATCTCTGGAAACAGCAGTACACAGATAAACCAACATAAGAGTCAACTCCCTCGACCCATAATGAGAACCAAGTTATGCGAAGGGTAATTAGTAAATTACACTGTTTTATCAGACCCACTGAAGCCGACATGGCTGAATGGCACACGTGAGACGTGGTTGAATAAGACTTGAAATTTTCAGTGACTTCCAGAGTGTTCTCATATCGTGTTGGTTGCATCTTGCGTGTGAAGCTTTGTGTGATAAAGCTTTCTCGTATCGTGTTGGTTGCATCTGTGCAAAGTCCTGTCAAAATGGAGTGAGAAAAAGTTCAATTTGAGTGTGAAAGAAGTGTGTACCAAGCGGCAAGCGCTGTACGTTGGCCATGTCATAGCTGGAGATGGAGAATCCAAAGAACTGTGAAAGGATCAAACAGCAAGTGCTGTACCTTGCCACATCATAGATAGAGAGGGTGTGCAGCCGGAAGACAAGAAGACAGCAGCGACCACAGCCTGCCCAACAAGAAGACCCTCACTCAACTGCACTCGTTCCTAGGTCCAGGGATTTTTTCTTTTGCTCTGTTTTGTCTTCTTTTGTTTCTGTTTCAAAAACTAAGCTCCTTCCTATTGGTGTGGAGCAGCACCTGCTGGCAAGCGCGTCCGGCATCCCTGAGATAAAATAATATCCACTCAAATTGCTTACCCACGTTGCAGACTGGGGAACCCTGACAGCATTGTTTGCTTCCGCAGGGAAGGATAAACTGTCCGTCAAGCCCAGAACAATACCCTGCCATGGTCCTCCCCCTTTTCAAAGAAGCAGTCCACAACCAATTTGCAACACACCTCTAAGTGCCAACTACTTGAGCTGCATACCCTCCCCTATCCTCACTAGCAAACCCAGTCTATTACCGGAAATTCGTTCGGAATTTTACGGCCACAGCACCACGGCACAGACTTTTGAAGAAGGAAGCCTTATGGCATTGGGATAGACTGTACCTCAGCGTTTTGAAAGCTGAAAGACGTATTCATTGAGTACCCAGTCTTGAAAACTGCAAAACCTTCCCTACCGTGATAGTCACAACTGATGCAACTCAGTTTGGGATGGGGGCAGCTTCACAGCAGGACAACGGCAAGGGCTACAGTCCGGTAGAGTTCATGTCTAAGAACTTGCCCTCAGAGGAAGTAGCTGCATCAACATCCGACAGAGAGTTGTACACGCTGTACGAGGCAAGAAAGTGTACCGGCCTGGAATTGGGAGTGGGTAGGGTCCCATTCAGAATTGGGAGGGGGTAGGGGGCTGATGCTCCCTATCGTCGGTTGGACTGTCAGTCCAGCTGCAGTTCGGTCCCAGGAAACTGCGTGAGAACTTCGATGCGTCAAAAGTTGGCCATGGATAGCAGGAAAAGGTACCGATCTGGAAAAGTCCAGGATTGGGAACTGCAGCAACTACAAAGTCCGGCGGCAGCGAAGCGTCTAACACAGTCAGACATTCGAGCTTTCTTTGGAAGAGTGAGGAAGAGAGACAGTGTAGACTAGCCAATAGCATTCGGCACCATAGCTAGTACAGTGAGAGAGAGAGACATTAAGTGAAGACATTCAGACAGCGAGAGAGAGGCCAGAGGGTAGTTAGGGGTTGAGAGAGAGGGACATACCTGTTTTATGGTTACTGGCAGCAATAGCTGCAGAAGTGTGCATACACGAGACTTTGTTGTTTAAGACGAAATTTGGAGTAATTTCCAGGGCGTTCGCGTACCATGTTGATTGCATCTCACATGTGAAGTTTTGCATGACGAAGTATGACTTAGTGATGTCGTGAGAAGCAATGGGAATTTGTGAGCATAATTTTGTCCTCGTTTTTTTAATTCTTCTCTTTTGCTGTCCTCATTTGCTTCTCATCTGTTTCTCATTTCTTTCTCATTTGTTTCCTGAACTTTCTTCCCTTTTCCTTCATATTTGGTTTAGAACAACGCTGCAAACCCGGTAGGACGGCGGGCCCTACCCCAACCGGAACCGGACCGGTCCTACTGGCCAGTCAACCGGGTCGGTTCCCCCGCGGTTAGCCGTAGCGCATGATTTTTTTTATTTTTTTTTTAAGGCCCAGGGTGCTGTAGAGTCCAAGGACTAGACCCCCGGGTGATCGCTGGCTGCAGAGCCGGTGGTTGTGCTGACAGGATAGGCCACCTTCCCTACCTTTCCCCACGTTAATGCTCCCAGCACACCCCCTATCCCTACTATCCTACCTCAGTGTGACCAGCACTCAGGACCATCACCCTACCAGTATCGAGGGCACTTTGGACCAGACAGCGGTGACAAGCACCCCCTAACACTATCACCCCCACCCCCCTTTTCAAAGTTTTTGGGTGGGAAGTACCGTCCCTACCCTGCCACTAACACCTCCAGCCCCCTTTTCAAAGTTTTTGGGCGGAAGGTTAACGTTTGCAGAAAGCCAGGTACGTTGTTGTCAATGTCTACTGAAGCCTGTGGTTGCTGAAACCCCTCCACCAACACCCTCACCATAAACCCCCCAACACTCTCAAACGAAACTTCTCTGTTCAAAGTTTTCGTTGCGGATTCGGGAAGATCTCGGCGAGCGCAGTCCAACCATGTTTTCAAAAAATAAAAATAAAATAAAAAATTGACCCACTTTTGGGCCCAACCCCGGTTTGACTACCGGGGGTCCAACCGGCCAGTTGCCCGGACAGCCATGGTTTAGAACCCCTTAGACCCCCTTAAATGCACTGCTGTGGAAGCAAACGTGAGCCACCTTTCTGCCTCCTTTGCACTGTCGCTCTGTCACCCATCCAGAGCACCAACAACCCAACCACTGACCCCATGGCGAGCATCGACTGTGACTCAGCACGCAATGTCATGCCTTATTTTGTCTGGCCCAAATGCATCGGATGTTAATCATGTTGCATCATTCCCATAGTAAGGAATGAGGGAAAAAGGAGACAGTTGGATTGGTCCAAAGGAAAGCATCTTTACCATTCCAGGTGGGATTCAAAGTCTGCAACTTTATCGAGGATGAGCGAGTCTGTCCATCGCATGTGAACACAACATATGGGTCTGAAAAGCCAGTCAGATCAGCTGTCGCCAATGACCTCGCCTCCAGCAACGTAATGGTGACCATCCAACCTTCTCCTTTTCCTTTCAAGCCATGATCCCCACCTGTGAAACATCACGAACAACACGTTTGTTGGTCCTTGCCCATGTACTAAACGATGCAGAGAATGTCACTGCATCAGAGATTCCGAAATTTTTGTGGCTACTGCGCAAAAGTGCTAATACATAGCCCACAGAGATCGCATAACCAGCAACTGGATTGGATGTCAGCATGTATACACACCGTACAAGCCCATCACGAGTGCTTCTGTTGAGCAGTGTCCTGGCTCTGAAGTCCGCAGAGTAATTTTCCCATCTCTGCAACATTTCATCTACAATTGTCAAATTCCTTGCTCGAGACAAGAAATTAATGGAACACCTGATTAGCAGTAAAAGTGTAATTACATCTTCAATGACGATAGACTGGCCAAACACACCGACGTCAAAGCAGGCAGATTCCACCTCTCAAGAATATGCACATGGGCAACACTCGGAGAGTGGTGACATGCACAGATCACTCACAAAACACCTCTCCCACTTAACCCTAGGGATCCATACCTCATGCAACAACAATCAGGAAATTCAGGACCTTTGCTTACAGCTCATCATGAACAGACGCATGTTCATGCACTGCCATGAGGCGGATCACAAGGCCATCGACTAGCTCACTTCCCTGCAAACCTGCAACAACCAGCACTGGGGGCAAGACTTCAACTGCACATGCAACGCAGGCGACATGAATTATGAAGAGAGTAGGTCTTGGTCTTCTCAGAGATGAAACGATCAAGTAGTGTACAGGTTTTGTAGCCAGACACACTGCTCTCCTACATTCCATTTTCTGCTGCTCCATGGCTGATATTCTGCTTTGCAGCCTTTGCTGTGGCTCTTTGTTCCACACACAGAGAAGAACACCGTACAACATCTGCTTTACAGGTCCAATCACCTCGAATCGACAACCTATACAAGCTCTGTGAACAGCACACGCTCACCATCTGCATTTGCACAGTTTCTCGCCTGGACTATTGAATGCAACTCGATAAATATGCAATGGACAATCCGCAGGAAACCAACATATTACTGTGTAGGATCCTCAGAGACTATACGAGAAGAATCTGAACAAAAAAAAGAGTCAATTCACATTCTGTACTATGATATCAATCAACACTGATCGTACAGTTACAATGGTTAGCAGGATTGATTCTGTGATGCAGAATCCGAAGAGAGGAGTTCAAGGTCAGCGACGGGTGAGAAACCACAGCAGGTGATGGTTGACATCACAAACCTTTTATGAGGCTGACCCACAAAAACTGCACCAGTTTGACGACCACTCTCTCAATAAGCAAGAATGAAACGCCAGCAATGAAGAGCTCAGAAAATGAGTCCGGAAGATCCACCCACCAGAACTCTAACCCCTGCGTCACTTTGGCTTTTGCGTACAAAATGTGAACGCAGAGAGTAAAAAGAAGAAGCAATGCCACAGCAGCAGAAACTTTCCCAACATATTTGGACAGGAACTCTGATGCATGTGTCCTCCAATTCTTGACCACAATCTCGTCTGGTTTCGGCTTTTCAATTAAATCCTCCTTCGCCATTGCTTCCACTGGCTTTACAGACTTGTTGATCACCTCCAAGCACACTGCATACGATTCAGTGATCCCTTTCCTCATTCCGTTTTCAATCATTGTCTTCATCATTGTGCTCTGCAAAAACTTTGCCCGCCATGACACCCTCATCCTAGCCATCCCCTCTCCTCCTCCTTCTGCCTTTTCTGGAAAAATGCACACCTGCACTTCGGTCCTGAATGTTGACCCGTATGGCACATCCGGCGTCGACACAGAGATGTCAACAACAAACCTTCCATCTTCGGCTTGAGAGTACGTATGCTTTTCACTGGCCTTCGTTGCTTTCACAAGGGAACTTGCAGGCATCATGTAAGACAGTTGCCGTGTTGGCAATCCAACATCATTCATCTTCCACGGGCCTTCCTCACACATTGTCAGCTTTCGTTTTTTTTGCCATTCAGCTACGATCTCTGAGCCTGGGCCAAAGAAGAGGGAGTTCAACTTTTTTGACGTACAGGAAAAGACTTCGTTGAGAACAACACCACCTGCCAATGGGGGAGGAATACTCACTGCCTCTGATTTGTACACCCCATCATCATCGAACCAAGAATCCGGCACCAGTACATCCTTGGGCTCAGCCAGCTGTACATCATTCGGCTCAGGCGGCTCAGTAACTATGGTGGGCTCAGGCGGCTCGCTCACATTCGGCTTGGGCTCAGGCGGCTCAAAAGTGACCTTCTTCTTGGGCTCAGGCAGTTCAATAACGACCTTCTTCTTGGGCTCAGGCGGTCCATTAATAACCTTGTTCTTTCGCTCAGGCGATTCACGAAAGATGTTCTTCTTGGGCTCAGGCGAGTCACGAAAGATATTCTTCTTGGGCTCAGGCGACTCACGAACATTGTCCGCCAATTTTTTGGTACGTTCTGAGTAGGGATCCTCGGGAGTCTGCTGCACAGGACGAGTTGCCCCACCAGCCCCTGCCCCACTGGCCCCTGTGCCCAACCGTGGTGTATGACTCCCCGATGTGCTCAGTGCACAATCTGACGGCACAGGAGCCTCCTGTGGCCCTGACATTCCGGACAAATCAACAGCAAACCCACTCTCCCGCACTGCTGGCATTACCTCCTGTGCCGCTTCTACATCTACGCTAGTCTCTGTCACAAACCTTTCAGCCAGTTTGTCCAGGCTTGATTCGGCATCTTCATTACGTCCAGGGCTAAGGTTTGGCGACGGGGGCCCAGATGAGCAGCTGCTCCCCGGAGTCTCTTGGATGACCGGCGCGAGCCGTCCGGGAGACTTAGAACGACCAGCAAAACCTTTTCGATTTTTTGTTCTATGTCTTAGCCTAGAGAGACGTTCCCGCAGAGAAGTGTGGCTACTACTGCCATTCTCCTTCTCCTCCTGCGCCTCGGCACTGCCGCTTGAGCCTGTAGATCCATGACTAGAAATAGATCGCCATGAAAATGGAGATACAGATCCAGTCTGCTTTCCAATGTTTGCTCCATTAGCGACATCCAGTTTCCCAAGCAGAGACATTCCTAGGCGTATCTCCCCTGCACATGCAGAAAGACCATCAAAGCAAGATTAACAAACAACTGAATAGTCAGGAGGTCAAAAAGGTTCATCACAGAATCAGCAGCACACACCCAGGGCCCATTGGCCTGAGTCGAGACAAGGGGCTGAACACAAATCAATCTAGGTAGCTCTTGCCTTCATGCTGTTGGCTGGCATTTTCACACATCAACCTCACCACTAGAGATCCAGAGGGAACAAACGACTTTTCTTTTTTTTTCCTTACCATTGATCGGACCCGCCCAGCTTTTTTTCGGTCCCACCCAACCTCACCCAATTATTGCAGCGCCGGCCACCACCCGCCAATGCCACCACTGCTCCACCTTGCACCACCCACCTGTGTCGCCTCGCTTGTAACCTGGGTCTAGGGAGCCCCAACCATAGCTGGGCACGGGGAACCTGAGTGGCAGAGCGTGGAGGTCAGGGAGAGGGAAGGCAGTGTGACTGGCAGTTGTACAGAGTCTTCATGCAGCATTGGCCGAGGGATACACGAACAATAAGAGTGGTACTAGAGGCAAAGCTGAGTACAGGTAGCAGGAAGTATATTAGGGCGTGCATTGGAGGCAGATGACGGGCCTTCATTATCAAAAGACTTGGTGTTTTGTTTGCTCCTAATCAGTGTGCATTTCGCTTTGGTTTCTGCTTTCCACTCGGCTCAATCATATTTGGTCTTCTATGAGATCGAATATTGGTGTTTTCATTGCGTGGTTCCTTCCACTTCCTTAGAAAGCATAACAATTCTCTCATAAAAGTTCCCACAATGGTCGTAAGGTAGTCTTTACAACTTGCAGTAATCATCTTTTTCTAATTCCTCGCTTTTCCCTGTCATTGTCTGCTCTTTACAGCAGATGCTTGAACATCTGATAGACAGTCAGGGCATACTCGCACTAGAACGCTCCTGAATATATCGATCCTCCTCCTTGACAGATTCACCCAGGAAACTCCTGGGATGAGTATCCTCCCTTCAGGAATTTTGCGAGCCCTGGACTGTGTTCCTCCAACTGGTCTTCTGATTCAGCACCTGACCAAATATACTGCTGGGAAGCAAACAGAAAATATCACAGACATACCTTTCTCGGCCTTTTGGCTAAGATCAAGTGTAGTATCTGTTCTGATCAGTTTAATATCTGATCTGTGGTCCATCGTACCATATAAAATATATATATATATATATATATATCACAGACACCTAGAGACTGTCCACATGAGGTGTACGAACTAGTGCGAAGATACGAATCAAGTCTTTCAAAAAATAAAAAAGTTCAAATACCCAATAGAGTGTAAGAAGTATCATGGAGTTGCAAATTAAGTTTTATGGAAAGAATTGGTCAAAAACCTCTTGGGGATAGCTGCAACCTAATCACAGAGACGCACTCAACCTGAACATGTGGAGGAAGCATGAAAAGGCAAAAGAGAACGACATAAAAGAAATGTCAATGGAGATAGGGACTGCAGAAAACTACCACACAATAAGAGTTACTCTGATGAAAGTAAGACCCCTAACACCTTTCCGAAACACGTGTGATAGAAGATGACTGCACACTGACCACACAGCATGTGACTCTCTTCCAAGGGGCAGGCATGAATGGAACCAGCAGATTAATGCAACATCAATAGGACATCAAATTGGGACAACAGAAGGGCAAGGGGATGGGAACAAAGTGAATACGCACCAAGCTGAAAGCGAAGCAGTAGTAGAATGAATGCAAATGAAATTTATGACAGGAACAAGTAAAGCCATTTCGGCTACGCGCATACAATTTGGATTAATTATCCCAGTACTATAATAGAACTGCGGCTATGCCCATACAATTCCGATTAATTATTCCAGTACTATAATAGAGTTGTTGTTTTTAAAAATAACAATAATAACAATAATAATAATAACAATAATAATATATAATAATAATAATGATAATAATAATAATTACAGCTACCACCTATATCATGTCTACAACTTTTGAACGCTCCAGTCGTCCAGCAAGAAACAGAGAATTAAAATCAACTGCTGCACAAACATCGCAGGAATGATCCCCACAACAATGGTGAAACGAAGAAGGGAACACAAGCCGATATTGATGATGTGTGTAGCATGCAGGTGGATGAATTAAATTAATACTCGATGACGGCCGTGAGCATGAAGAAACAGAAGTGGAAAAAACAGTTGATGAAACCTATGACCGTTCGCTATTCACCCGATTTTGATGAGTGGCAGAAGGCTGCTGAGCAGAATTGACGAACATTGTGGCTTGATTAAAATCAGAGCTGATGAGCATTTGCTGTTGGCGTCAACAATCCGGCATGCAAAAAATATGAAAGAGGAGGCGTGCAACCAGTGTGGCAACATTCCCACCAGTAGAATTTAGATTTGAATTTACAAAAACAAAATAAGGAAGAGATGATAGCAATACAGTGACAGGAGGAGATCCAAACGTGACGAGATGACAGCATAGCAGCACACAAAGGGAAAAAAAATAAAAGAAAGGTACATGTTAAAGAAGCGCTCAAAAGGATGTAATAGTATGGACAGGAGTGCCTCCACGAAGGGAAGATAATGGCCCGAAGAGTACCATCCAACTGGGTTCCAAGTGGAGCCGCCAGAGATCAAGGCAATGGACAAATTGCTGACCTTCGAACGAGGCACGCTGCCAAGTGTTGACTGGATTGCCGAGTACCAACGCTTGACATCCCTCCCAGACATTCAGATGGGCTTCAAGGCCGTCAAACACTACTTCATCACGAGGTCGTGTTCGACTTTGGGCAACGCCTTAACTCACGTCGAGGAGACCCTGACGACAACTGCGGAGCTCTTCGACAAGGCCGCCCAGATCATTGTCACGAACAAGGAGGCCAAAAACCTCAACCGTTCGTCTGCGACAGGCCCGAACAAAGATCAGCATCGGCTGAAAGTGGCCGTGGTCGCGGCGGCAACGCCAACCGACCAATCTAGCGAGGCCGTGTCTGCCAATGAAGGGGACAGACTCGCAGCCGCCCGGGATGGTGGTCGCCCCGCCAAAAGTCGAGGACCCGGCAAGACGAAGACAAACACCACATCTATCCCCGGGCCCAGCGCAGCAGCTCCAACCCCGTGGCCGTGGTCGCGGCGGCAACGCCAACCGACCAATCTAGCGAGGCTGTGTCTGCCAATGAAGGGGACAGACTCGCAGCCGCCCGGGGTGGTGGTCGCCCCGCCAAAAGCCGAGGACGCGGCAAGACGAAGACAAACACCACATCTATCCCCGAGCCCAGCGCAGCAGCTCCAACCCCATGGTCCCACTATGGTCTCTCCGAGCAAGCATACAAGCAAAGCACGAGATTCCGCTATTGTCTGTGGTGTAACAGCGATCTCCACGACACAATGAGCTGCTCGTTGAAAGGCAAAGGGAAACTGACCACCGACGGGAGTGAATCAACGACATTCTCGACGCCTTCAGAACTGGTCGCTTCGCGGGTGACCGCCCTTCGTTCCGAGGTACATGCGGAAGTCGATAGTCCTCCTCTTCTATATTCTTGTGAGAACTATGCTGCCCGTCTCGTTCCTACGCTGGGTACTCATGCTCAAGGACAAGACGTGTGTGCGGCATCTTCTCCGTCCAGCAACGACGACTTACCGTCTTCAAGTGGTTCTTCACGGGATTCGGCGCTCGAGTTCAACATAGAGGTCTTGGACCCGCTCACGTCGGAGGATTTTGCATCGCTTCCTCTCCCGACCACGGGCTGCTTGCCGGGACCACAATGCGCAGCATTACGCGCTCATCTTCACACGTATCTATCCTTCTATGCACCACCAACTTCGCCAACGGATGACGAAGTCGCGGTGGGGGACATCCTTGCGTATGTTACCAAAATGGCCCGCGAGTTTCGTAAGCAGCAGTACGCTGACAACAAGGCACCGCTCCTCTATGTCCGCATCCAAGTTGGGCAAGCGTCCTGCAGCGCTTTGCTAGATAGTGGCGCGTCTAACAATTTCATGAACCAAGCCTTTATGCAAAGGGTTGACCTTGGTGCACAAGTCCGGAGGAAGGCAAACCCCACGACGATCAAGTTGGCGGACGGAAGGACGCAGCAACTTATGGACCGCTACATCGAGGCCGTACCGGTGTATTTCGCACCTCATGCATGCGAACCGGTGATGTTCGACATTTTGGACACGGACTTCGACATTATTTTGGGAATGCCTTGGCTTGCAAGTGCGGATCACACAGTCAACTTCCACAGGCGCACTCTTACCGTTCGAGTCGCCTTCGGCGCCGAAGTCTCGTGTACTATTCCTGTTCCGCACCCTTCGATTCGGTGCCAAGGGGTGACGGCCAAGTCCTTCCAAGCTACTTGCTCTTACGAGCAGCCCGACGAAATCGGCCTATGTTTCCTGCGGACCGTCGCGGTAGCCGACTCTTCACCCACGGACTTGTCTTCGGACCCTCGTGTGGCGCGGTCTTCGAGTCACCTACCGGTGTGGTGCCGGATCAGCCGATCTCTCACAAGATCACTCTTGAGGCCGGTGCCGTGCCGCCGAAAGGTTGCATTTATCGCCAGTTCTCTTCGTACGGAAGAAGAACAAGGATCTACGATTGTGTGACGACTTCACGAGCGCTTATGGTGGCCCGGCCTTCTCGGCGACGTCACACTCTATTGCGAGTCATGCGAGGTTTGCCGATGCTGCAAATCCCTCAACCATCGTCCGTACGGATAGTTGCGACCATTACCGGTCCCCGTGCGCCAGAGGGAAGCGAGTACCATGAACATTACCGGGTCATTCCCCAAGCACAAGACCGATGTGGATGGGATTCTCACGGTGGTCGACCGACTCACCAAGTTCACCATATTTTTGCCTTGCCGCTATCATGCCAAGGCACCGGAGTTGGCCAAGGTTATTTACGTCGGTTGGATTCGAACCAAGGGTTACCCCAAGGAAATCGTTTGCGACTACGACACTCGGTTCATGTCCGATTTTTGGTCGGTGCTCATCAAATGATGGGGCTCATCTCTCAAGCCAAGTTCGGCTCGCCTACTTGGTGCACTTTGCATACTGCACCCACAAACGAACGCAAGATGCAAGGCAAGCCGGTATCTTCGGCTCCACATCGCACCCGCGTCCAGGTTCCACCTTCAGATCATCAGCTTCGCCCTTGACCCAGCTTGACTTCATAAGGAGGGGGGGATGTTACATGCTGCGCCTGCAATAGGCTGCATGGGCCATTTTCAGGCCTGCGACGTTTTCAGCCCGAAAGCCTGAAAACAAGGGCCTACAGGCCCTGTGTCGTTTCAGCCTGAAAGCCTGAAAACAAGGGCCTGTCGTTTCAGCCTAAAACAGAGCCTGGAAGGCCCCGAGTCTTTTCAGCCTGAAACGGAGGGCCATTTTCAGGCCCTCGTAAGATCGACCTGCCCTGAAACTCAGGCACCAGACCAGTGTTTTAACACAGTTTTGAGCTTCAACGCCAGGGTCTGGCACGTTTTGGCATTGGCAAGAGCAGCCTCCTGGACGGGCCAGCACAACATAAGACTGGCCCGCCCTGCAGGCTGCAGGTAGTTCATAGGGACTTCCCAGGCACTTCACGTGCAGTTCAGGAGTCAGGAGGTAGTCTTCAGGACTCGGCAGCCGCACTCTGGAGGAGCGCTGCAGTAGTAGTAGTAGCGTTAGCAGCAGTCTTCAGTGCTGGGCGCTAGTAGGAGCTAGAGTAGTACTGGAGAGAGAGAGAGAGATTGGGCGGAGGCCAGGGAGACTTACCTGCAGCGCCATAGCTCCAGCTTCGTCTTCGAGGTACCTGCAGCACAGCACCATCTTCACAGGTTAGTACCTGGCACATGAGAGAGACAGAGTTATTCTTCTTCCTCTTCTCAGTCCACCATCTCCCTCTCATCCTCTCGCTACCTGACTTCACTGCATCAGCAGACTACGGGAGAGCGGGCTTGGTGACATTTGGATCCAGACTCGACATTGGGCTTCAGACATTTGACGAGGGATTATCTGGGGGCATGTATCACTCTCTCTCTGCCCTCTCCCTCTCACCATCTCTTCCGCCCTCACTTTCCCGTTCTCTTTTTTTCTCCCCTTTGCATTCCTCTCTCTCTCTCTCTCTCTCTCTCTCTCTCTCTCTCTCTCTCNCTCTCTCTCTCTCTCTCTCTCTCTCTCTCTCTCTCACACACACACACACACACACACACACACACACACACACACACACACACACATTCTTCCCTCCCGCTCAAATACACACACACACTCATTCTTCCCTCCCGCTCGAATTTGTCTCTTTCTTCCTTCTCCATTGCCTCCCTTTGGCCTGGTCGATTCCATCTTTCAACTTGTACCCTCCATCCCCCTCCCGACCTTCCCCCCAGCAATCTGCTTTTCCACATCCTCTTCTCTCCTTGTCCTGTGTCTAGCCTCTCAATTCCCATCTATCTCCAAGCCTTTCTCTCCTCCATTGAGATACTCCTCAGATCCTGTTCCTCGAATACTCGATGTGGCCCCTTGGTATGTCCATTCCTCTCTCCCTCTATCTGTCGCTCTTTCTCTTTTCATTGCTCTCCTCCTCCACCACCTGCATATCCACATTTACCCTATCCCTCTCCTGATTCAGCCCTCCGTCACTATCCTGCTCTCTCCTTTCCTTACAACCAGTTCCCCCTCCCTCTGCGCTGAGCCCCTCTTCCTGCCTTGCAATCTCTTCCCCTTGTCCGGATCCTTCTACACAACCTGCATTCCTCACACTGTTGCCTTCATTGGTCCCTACATCCTCACTGCGAGTGGCTCACATTCCGACGTTCTCCTCCTCTCGATCCCACATCCTGACCAACCCCCTCTCAATCCACCCTGCCCATCCCCTTCTCTCCAAATTGGGTTCCTGACCTACATCCTCCTCCCATTTACTTTCGGACCCTCCTCGAGGGCTTCCCCCTAAATAACCTTCTTAACGTCGGCAAACTTCCCTTGCATGCTTCACCCTATCCCTGTGACTCTCCTTCTGCTTCCTTTGTTGTCCCATCTGATCGTGACCAACACAATCCTGACCCTCACCTCCTCCCCATCCCGCATCCTCACCCTCCTCCTTCGTCCTTCTCGTGCTACTCCAGCCTCTCAAGAGTTCGACGGAGACCTTCTCCTGCCTGCATGACCAGGCACTTGACCTCCCCCTAGTGTTCCGATAGTGGCCGTGCACAAATCCTGTCCCACTTGCAAAATAGCACCCCAAAAAAAAATGGTATTGCCCTAAGCGAATGGACGGAGGAGGGAAGGACGGATGTCGAGGGAGAGGGAGGGAGGGAGAGAGACAGACAGAAAGACAGACAGAGGGAGACAGAGAGAGGAAGAGAGAGGGCTAGAGAGGGAGAGGGTACACATCGCCACGCCAGACAAACCCACCTATTTCACTTTTGGGCCGATTGTGAATGGAACTCTCCACCTCTTCAAGGCACAACAGCTCTGATAGAGGGATGACGGAGGGAGGGAGGGAGGGAAGGGGAGGGAGGGAGGGAGCACTTCGCCATGCCATGTAAACTCACCTACTTCCGTGTTGGGCCGAGTGTGAATGCAACTGTCTAGATCTTCAGGCACAACACCGCGGGCACAGAGAGAGAGAGAGAGAGAGAGAGAGATAGAGAGAGAGAGAGAGAGAGAGAGAGAGAGAGAGAGAGAGAGAGAGAGAGCGAGAGAAGAGAAAAACCCACTACCGCGACGGCTGTTAGAACACAGCCAGACAGTGCGTTCAAACAGCTGTCGCCATATGCCATCAGAGGAGCCTCAGGCGTGCCCTACTCGGGAGGGTTTAGGAATGGGTTCATGTATCGATGCGTCCCTTCCATCCACTCTGAAAATCTCACAACGACAGCGTGACCACATTGTTTAAAAAAATATTTGAAACTGTAACTAAACGTCCCCAAGTGGGGCACCGCCACCAGTCAGTTCGGTGATGATATTCCCAGGTCGTCGCCCCGCCCCCCCAAAAAATAGGACTATATGGGCCTCGCTGCGCCACTCACCAACAGCCCAAAAGGCAAAAGTTACAGTGGTGTATCTTTGTGTGTTCTTGCGGAAGATTCATTCTCATTGTGCACATTCAGTGAGTGGTGTGGAGAGGCGCACGGCCACAATAGGTAAAAGGAAAGAGCAAAACGAAAAAAGAAACAAAAACGAAAGCGGCCTTTGCATACTGGGCCTCTACGCACCATTGACGAAACTTGTTGGTCAGCCATGGGTTGAGGCCCAGTAACCCACGGCTGTTTTCGATTCTTTATTGTTTCGCTTCGCTCTGCACCGAGGCCCATCATGACACGGAGCGTTAGTTCGCATTTCCTTTTCTTTTTTTTTTTTTGCAGTGAGATATTCGCACCACCTGTAGTTTCCTTTTTTTCAGTCACGTTTTCAGGCAAGCCGTCGATAGAGGCCCAGAGATTCGCTGCTTATCGGACGGCTCCTCTCACAGATGAACAGAATCCAGTAGGGGCAGGTCGCGATGTAGTGTTACACCCCAGAAGAACTTTGATGGTAGTAGTAGATAAATGTTCATGGGATGGCCGTGACCAAACCTCCATAATATATCACAAGGAGGATGGGAAGGGGTGAGTGATAATAAACAGAAGAAGAAGTCTCACCGCTTATCTTCGAAGTTGACTTCCGCTTCTGAAGAGGATACCATGTTGGCGGGAGAACCTGGCCATCTGCCTTCACGACATCGGAGAGAGGGATATCCACTTGCCCCAAGAAATCATCCGTCATGTAATCCTCATCCCAGATGGAGAGGTGTAAGACTTCTGAAATATCTTCCACTGCAAAGATAAACTCCTCATGCCAAGCTGGATTCAATGTCTCATAAATTACTGTCGACTTGGTTTTCTGCTCCCCAACCACTATCCGAACATATGGATCGCTGAGCCCATTAGAGTCCTTTGGGAACAAATTCCTCGCTTCAACAACACACAAACGCAACTTCATTCCCATTTTTGCTGGCTCCCTCAACACCTCGCCACGTTCTGCTCCCCCCACCACCACCACACAACCTTTTCCCGCAACCACCCACAACAAGAAATTACAACTAGAAGACAGTGCCACGGACAGAGAGAAAAAGGAATAAAAACCTCATTAAGCCCAATAACAAACAATGGGCAGCAGCAGTTACACCCGGAAAATTGCACACTTGCTCTCTACCCATACATTGGCATCGTCCTTCACAAAGCCCTCACCAGACAACCGATAGGAATACCTGTAAAAGGGCGATGCCGTGAAAAGCAGATCATTTAGTCAGCACAACCAAATGGGCAAAGCAACCCTCTCAAATAGCGAGGCTGCATACTGACCACTAACGGGTAGAACACACACACACACACACACACACCGGTACACCATAACAATGAATGATGATCAGCAGCAGTTACAGCTGGAGACTTTCCTCACATTTCCTCTCTCCCCATCCATTGTCCTTGTCATACACGAAGCTCTTGCCTGGCGATGCACAAAGATAGCCGTAAGAATACAATGCCATCAGAGAAATATGAGATCATTTTGTAAAACCACCACAAGGGAGATGTACCCCCCCTCTCAAAGAGGCTGAATACCAAGCATGAACTGGTAGACACACCTCCTCGGACGCACCCCCAAATACCTGTTCATCGGTATCCCATTTGTCATTGAGAGCTCGTAAATGGACATCCAACTTCCCGGCGTCAACCCGAAGCTGAGACTCTCACTTACCCTGCAACATTGTGATCTCCTTATGAGCTCCCAAACCCCTGAGTAATGCAGTCGCCCATCTCCAGGCCACAACCCCTTGGCATAAACAGCACCAGCGACTTCCAAATTTCACACACACACACACACACACACACACACACACACACACACAAACACACACACACGCACAAACTATCTCGTACAAGAGAAAACTCTAATCTAAAGATGATACCCAACTGATTGGACAAAAATCTTGCCCTTGCGCACCTGAGGCCTGCATTCCTCTGTAGGAACTGCGATGACCTGGTGTCCTTGCCTTATCCGTGGAGATCAGGGAATCATCGTTCGTCATTGACATTGAAAGTTTCTGTGAATAGGGACCACAGGCAAACAGGATGGTACTCAGGCTGAAGCAGAACCCTAGGCACCTCTTTGACAAACGAGAGAACTAACCACTTGATTTTCTCATTTGGCTCAGAATCAAGTAGTGCCCCATGTGACAAAATGTGCTGACATGCATACAGCATGTCAAATACAAAGTCCCATTAAAATGAAAGGAAACTGAGAGGTGTGAGGTATCACTGGTTGCCCTCCACCAAGTTCCCTCAACATCCTATCAATCGCCAACGACCATGCTTCATGGTGATAAGAATCCAGCAGAAGCGTCTCCTGCATCATCACGAACACAATCAACCAGCAAAGCAAAAGGATTGTCAATCAAGACCATTGACGATTATACAGATTATAATTGCTTGTTGCAATCCTCCTCCTCCCTTCCTCAAAACCAGGAAGGCAAGATAGAGAAGAGTTGTTCATAAAGAACTTGCAAAGAATTCTCTATGCAGTACCGGGCTCTTCCAGGAGACTATGTGGGTCCATGAACACGAGACCCACCCTGCAGACCCCAGACCGTCCTGACACCAGGGCCAGTTTTGAGGCTTTTAGACTCTATAATAACCTGCAAAATTGCAGACTGTGAAACCTGAGCTTTTCTGAGTTTTTGTAGACTGTGTATTCAGGGGTGCAGAGGGTTGAAAGAGAGGCCCACAGAGGATCGAGAGTCGACAGCTTTTAAACGATCATCAATCAACAGCACCCTACGGCAATCATTAGTACCATACCAACCATGAAAAGAACCAGTCAAACCATACCAATTCACAAATCAACTCGCGACAGAAAGACAACACGACCAACACAGAAAGACATGCATAAAAGATCGAGAAGAATAAAGCACTAAGAGAAGAAGAGGACGGAAAAGAGAAAGCCAAAGACACAGGATACGTAAAAAATCTTCCCGAACGCGACTTTTTGAAGATATAACGTGAAGAACAACAACTAGCGGTATGGCCCGACTAGTTTCGGCTGGCCGCTCCCGGCACTCATCAGGGGCCTTTAGTCGCAGAGGTACTCAAACAGACATAGACGTTCTTTATATATCCTGTGAGACCTTGCTAAGGATAGGAACTGCATAGCCTACAATCAATTATCAGGTACAAAGTTCAGGCCCTTCAGCAATTGTCTCTGGCTACAACCTCACAGACTAAGGCTCAGAAAAGTCCGAGGAAAAAGTCCAGGACTGCCTTCAGAGGACAACCAAACTTACCAACAACCCGGTCGTCACTAAACAATCAAATTTCCAAAGGTCAAAGGATCGAACACTCCTTCCACTACTACCGTATCTTCAACGAGTCTACCAATTTCACAAAAAAACAAAATTCATCGTTCCGCTTTGTGGGACTGGGCCCAGCCAACCCCTGGGTCCCAGTTCCAGTTCCAGCAACAAATTCAACAAGCCGGGCCCAACCAACCCCTGGGTCCCAGCATCTTCCTGAACAAATCCCAATTTTGACCATCGCGACCATCAACAACTTCACGAATATTTGCGACCCCATTAGGCTTATTTACCAGAAACCGACCCACGGAGGCCAGAAACTATTTGATAGATGGTCTTCGGTGGCTCTCTTTTCTTAGTAATACAAGCATTCATCATTTTATTACACAGAAAACAGGGTTGCATGCCTGCCGACTGCCGACCCCGACTGCCGACCGTTTTGCAGCCGACCAGTAGGGCCTACCGGTCGCCGGTCTCCCGACCAGTCAGAAAACAGCCATCCACTGCTTTTTTTTCAAATCCGAGTTAAGGGCTGTACTGCACTTGATGATTGCAGCCCAAATCGGCTGAGAAACTTTTGGGGATGCGGGAAGGTAAGGGGGAGTCGGGGGGGGTACAGGGGGGTTATAAGGGGTATTGCGGGGGTAATGAGGGTGTTGGGGGGCAATTCGGAGGTGTTGCGGGGGTGTATAGGGGTATTGGGAGTGGCTGAGGTAGCCAGAGTCTGCTGCCAGACGTACCCCTCCCTTCTACAGATTTTAAGGGCAAAAAGAAAAAAATTAGGGCCCCGTATTCCTCATTGCACATAGCTTTTTTTCTTGAGGGCCCCCAGCAGAGAATCTGCGGGGCTCTTTTGTCACAGTGGACACACTCTACAAATTTTGGAAGTGCGAGGAGCAGGCCAGCAATATATCTTCTGGATACGAATTCAGGTCTATGTTCCAGCAGTTATCTGCTACAACTACTTAAACATATGGTGGCGTACGATTCCATGTTCTAGCAGAAGATTCATTCTAGTTTTGCACATTGGTGAGCGGCGCAGGGAAGCCCTGAAAATCACGTGGTGAGTTTCCCTGCCACTTCCCAGACTATCACGTGCTCCTGCTCCCATAACTGCTGAAACACGGACCTTAATGTGAATCTACACCATATATAGTTGGCCTGCTGCAGCTCTGCAATGTGTTCGAGAAGTGCCACTTTCGTGGAGAGGAGGCCCTTGCTAATTACTTGCAGGGGCCTCTAGGATTACCCGCACGGGTTTTCTGATTAATGTTAAAGGGCTACTAGATCACCTGTTCCGGCTTCACTCACAAAAACAAACACGACACACCATGCCGTAAAAAGGTGGAGGCAACCGACGGATGCAAACTCTCACTCTCTCTCTCTCTCTCTCTCTCTCTCTCTCTCTCTCTCTCTCTCTCTCTCTCTCTCTC